AGATGATATTTTAATACATATTAAAAATTGAAATGAACATAGGAAGCACTTAGAGATAGTTTTATAAGAATTTATCGAAAATGGAATTGTAATTAGTAAAAGTAAAATAGTATTAGAAAAGCAAGATATAGGGTTTTTAGGAATGTATATCAAGTCAGGTACAATACAATTATAAGATCATATAGCCAAAAAGGTCTTAGAATTTCCAGATGAGTTAGAAGATAAAAAACAGTTATAAGCATTTTTGGGATTGTTAAATTATGCAAGAAATTTTATCCCTGATTTAGGAAGAAAAATAGCAGTATTACACAGTAAAGCTAGCAAAACTGGACAAAAGTATTTTAATAGTGAAGATATTAAATTAGTTCAAAATATAAAGGAAGCAATTACTAAACTTAAGCCATTAACATTACCATTAGAGGATAGTTACAAAATAGTTGAAACATATGCTTCATCATTAGGATGGGCATGTATACTATACTAGAAAAAGTATAAGGATTCACCAATGTCTGACGAACAAGTTTGTAGATATTCATCAGGAAAATTTAGTGATGTACAGTCAAGATTACCATCAACAGATTTAGAAATTTTAGGAATAATTAACTCACTTGAAACATTCTCTTTATTTTTACATAATGAAGTATTTACGATTAGAACAGATTGTCAAAATATAGTTTCTCATTATAACAAGATACATGCTAACAAACAAGCAGCCCGAAGATGGGTTAATTTTGTTGATTCAATTACAGAAAATGGTTTTAAACCAATTTTTGAACATATAAAAGGTAATGACAATACATTAGCTGATATCTTATCAAGATTAATTTGTTGAAACAAGAATGGAATATCGTGGACCATCATCTTCAAATAACACAAGACCACAAGGCAGAAGATCATCTTTCAATAGCATAATGACGCACCATGGACCTCCACCATTCAGTGGATTTCAAAATAGCATAAGCAGACTAACATCACCACCAGTACCCACTTTCAATTTTAATGACAATATTGGTGAAGGAATCAGAAATCTAACTCTAAGTTACAGGACAAGGGTACCAAAACTCTCTGATAAGTAACAGGTTCTCTTAGATAATTTTTGGAATATCCAAATCAAATAGCCAAGCATGAGGTTAGGTCAAGAAAAACTAATTAGAACCTTAGAACATGAGTTTGATAGTTTTAATTTCAATTTCCATCAAAATCAACATCATATTCATTCCCTTGAGCATAATTTTCAAGTCATTTTTAGAGATCATGAGTCATTACTTAGTAAGTTTACCAAAATAAACCAAGAACTCCAATCTCTTAGAATGCAGTAAAAGATAAGTAATACCCTGAAAAGAGAATTGAAAATAGGTTTGGAAACAACTGATCAACATAAGAATAAAGAAAAAGAGGTTATTGAACCCATAAGACAAGAGGCTAATGAGTCCATGGAAGAGATTAAGATTGAACTCTTAGAAGAAGAAATTGAAATGGAGCAGCATCAAAATTATAAGCAGCATCAGCATCTGAGTGATAAAGAAAAACAAGAAAAATATGAAAGTTTTCTTAGGAATTTACCTTTAGACTTAATATTAGATGATATTTTATTAGAAGAAATTTCAAAAGCAAAATTAAGAATAATGCCACCAGACATGCAAAATGAAATCCTGATCAGAGCATCACAGTCCATGAAAGAATTACAATTACAATTACAATGTGCTTTGTACCAATCAATATTTGATTCAAAACCAGGGATGAATATTATTACAAAGATGTATCCACCATATTTTTGTGATAGTACAGAGAATTGTATTTGTAAACCAGAGGTTAGCATAGCTGTAGCCAGGATTAACATGAGAGATTTTAGACCATGACATTTTAGTTATGAGCATCAGAAAAGACATAATGTGGTAGAAGTTACCTCAGCCTTACTATTAGAGTTTGGCTATCTTGATAAAATATTCATTAACCATATTTCTCAACTGGAATCATTTCCTGAAAAACTTATGAAAGTAATAGAAGATTATTTGGAAAAGTGGAAAAAAATTTGCATAAGTTTTATTAGTAGTCCTCCAGATTGGTATGTACATATGCATAAGGAGAAAGCTAGGCATATAGCCATGATTAATGAAGAGTTCTTTAGACCATATCCTATCACTCCACATAGGTGGACTCCTTCATACAACAATTATAAAATTTCGAGGAATCCAAATGTTTGCCTTAAATGAGTTTGAAAATTTTAGGTATGATATGATATTAGTAGCAGAAGAAGAAGAAATGCATATTTACGACAAGTCAAAAGCCCGTCATCAGCCATACTGGAAGCCTCAAAATTACAAAAGAGAAACAGAAGATATGTTTTACAAGGTGAAAGAAGATAGAGAAAGAGATGCAGAGCTAGTAGAAGGCGATGAACAGTACTGGAACAATTTGACAGAAGAAGAGCTGCATAACATTGACAACATGATGGAAGCATGAAGAGCTGGAAGCAAATTAGCATAAGTTGAATAGCATCATGTAAAATAATGTATTTCTAGACAGAAATGTCAACATCATTGTGGACCACTTTCAATGGCATTAGAGTAAATAAATAAAAGAACTTGACTCATTATGGGATTTTCATATGCAAAATGTCATTTTAATTAAGAATGAATAGTACCAAGCCCTTTTCGTTAAAACTCCCTTTATTAAGTTGATAGATAAGTGAGTGGATTATGTCTAGTTTTTGTAATTAAGTTCTTTTACCTTTAAGCAATTATCCCAGCCATTAAAGTCAATACAATGCCAAAGTCTCCTTTCTTTGAGATGTCATTGTACATTTATATATTATATATTTTTGTGTGTGTGTGTATTAGGATAATGCTATGTAAACCAAATTCATATTTTTAAATATCTAAATTATCCTTAATAACATTGACTTCGGGTCTATTACTTCCTATCTACATTTATTTTACATGATTTCATTAAGTTAAATGTTTTCAAATAGCTTATTTGGATTTAGAAAAGAAAAATTTTAATGTCGTGATTCTATGCATATTAGTAACAAAAATTACGTGATATCGGAGTTTTGTTTTCAAATATTATAAATGTAATATAGTTGTTTCACATTTGTGTAAAATTGAGCATTTTTTGTCTCCTTTCCAAATGATGCTAACATGTAAATTAGTATATCTTACAAATATAAAATTGTTAGCTTTGTGCATACGATTCTCAATAAGGATTTTTGTAGCTTCAGGTGAGGAGGGTATTATTCAAAATTGCCAATATTTAAATATAAATAGAGGTAAATTCTTTTGCACAACATATATATAATAACAATATAAGTTAGCATTTTTTGGTTCATTTCAAATGATGCTGACATGTAAATTAGTATATTCTACGAATATAAAAATGTTAGCTTGTGTGTACGACTCTTTTATTCAACAAAGATTTTTGTAGCTTCAGGTGAGGAGGGTTTTATTCAAAATTACCAATATTTTATGTGACATTCCACATCGCTCAGGGGAGTGATCCTTATATGTATATTTTCATCTCCACCTTGCACGAGGCCTTTTGGGAGCTTACTAGCTTCGGGTTCCGTAGGAACTCCGAAGTTAAGCGAGAAGGGGGCTAGAGCAATCCCATGATGGGTGACCCACTGGGAAGTTCTCGTCTGAGTTCCCAGAAACAAAACCGTGAGGGTGTGTTGGGGGCCCAAAACGGACAATATCGTGCTACGGTGGAGTCGGGCCCGAGAAGTGGTCCCGCCTGAGCCGGGATGTATGATAATAATATAAGTTCCTAATAAATTATGTAATAAATCAAGCAAAATAATCCCTAAAAAATAAATAAATATTATTTGATTTAATATTATAATAATATAAGTTCCTAATAATTTATGTAATAAAACATGCAAAATAATACCTACAAAATAAATATATTATTTGATTTAAAACTAATTAATATACCTGTATTTTGCAAAATATATATATATATATATATAGGTAAATTATTTGCACAGAATATATATAATAATATCAAAATGTGCCTACCATAGGTAATAATACATGCAAAATAATTTACCAAAATAAAGGAATGTTGATTGATTGCACACATTGTATAATAATAACAAAATGTGCCTAGTATATGTAATAATATATGCAAAATAATTTACCTACAAAATAGAGGAATGCTTTAAGCCAAGTGTTGCATTGGGTTATATCAAAAGAATTGTATTTTATTTTTGGAAATGTTTGGATTGCAATGACATTTTCATGGCAGAATCAGAACTTTCTTTTAATTGACAAAATACATGATATTTATAAAGATACTTGTAGGATGAGCTATTAACTCATCTAAGGCAACAACTTAATATTAAACTAACTATAAATGTATGTATTTCATATTCGCATTCTTGTGAGTCAAATATGAAAACTTCTCCAACCAAGACTGAGCTCGCTATCAATTCTTTTGTGCTTTTATGAAGTCTATGAAGTCGATAGATAAGACCATCTCCAATGGTTGGGCTAAAAGCCAAATTTTTTAGCCCGGAAAATTTAGTTTTTTGCCTAGAAACAACTTTTCTGCTCCAACCGTTCTAGCCTAAAATTTTAGCCCGGGATTATTAAAGAATGAACTTAGGCTTTTTTTTTTGTTAAATTAAATTTAAAAAAAAAAATAAATATGTAGACTATCGTAAATTAATTTTATGAACATTTTAATCTAAAAAAATTTAAATTCCAATAAATATTGGGTGGAGTCCACTCCGATTTCTGGGCTAAATTTTGGGGGGAATTTGGCATTGGTTTAGCATTTAGCCCAAAATTTCCCCTTGGGTTGGAGTGGGTTTGGGGAGAAATTTTGGGTGGTAATTTGGCTTTTAGCCTACCATTGGAGTTGGTCTCTCTAGAGAGGAGATAATATCAAACTTTTTTAATATTAAGTTCTTTTACCAACCGACCACTAAAGTCAATAGTCCAAGTCTCTGGTTGATTATTGTACATTTATATACATATATATATATATATTATTTGTGTATATGTATTATACATGCATGGCTGTGCTTAGTACCAGATTCCAAAACACACAACTGAAACCCTAAAATTATTCTCTTCTACAACCTTGCCATGAACCCATTTATATCTTTACTTCTATTCCTTCTACCAATCATCTCTCTATTTATCACAACCTCAGTTTCTGGTTCACCCATGAAAATCCCAAGGCTGAGTCCTACTGGAGGAACATTTGTACATGGAAATTATTTTGCAAATGACCAACCAAAAGCTTTGTCTGCACTTGATCAAAACGATTTTGAAACATTTTACTACACCCAAACACTTGACCATTTCAACTTCAGGCCCGATAGCTTCACTACTTTTCAACAAAGATATTTGATCAACTCCAAGTACTGGGGAGGCTCCAATGTTAGTGCACCAATATTGGTTTACTTGGGCGCAGAAGAATCAATTGACAACGATCTTGCTATTGTCGGCTTTCTCAGTGAAAACGCCTATCAGTTCCAAGCTCTCCAGATATTTATTGAGGTATGCACAAAAGAATTTCCGGCTGCAACGTAGAACTAAGGGAAGTAGTTTTCTTGCTGGACATTAATTTTCATGTTATAAGATTATTATTAATTTGGACTGTTGATCAAGTGAGTTCTATTGCATTACTTAGTCTGAGACTTTCATTTTTCTCATCAGCACCGGTACTATGGGAAATCAATCCCGTTCGGATCAAGGGAAGAAGCATTTGAAAATGCAAGCACTATTGGATACTTCAATTCAGCCCAGGCAATAGCAGATTATGCAGAGATCCTCATACATGTAAAGAAGCAACTTCACGCTGAAGATTCTCCGGTGATTGTTATCGGTGGATCATACGGTGGAAGTGAGTGACTGCAGATTCACCTTCACGAATATTGTTTTAGTAATTAAGATAAGTAACTTTTTGGCCATGTTTTTTATTCTCCCTTTTGAATTTCCATTTTTGATACAGTGCTTGCTTCATGGTTTCGGCTCAAATATCCCCATATCGCAGTGGGAGCTCTAGCCTCGTCAGCTCCAATTCTTTACTTCGATAACATTATCCCACCAGAAAAGGGATATTATTCCATTGTGACCAAGGATTTTCAAGTAAAGTCTTTTTCTTTGATGACGTTTTAACATCAATGTATGTCATCAGTTGGAGTTCTATAACTTTTTGGAATGCATGTGCAGGAAGCGAGTGAGACTTGCTACCAAACAATTAAGAGATCATGGTCTGAAATTGATGAAATTGCCTCTAAGGATGGAGGCCTCTCAATTCTTAGCAAGAAGTTCCACACTTGCAGGTTAGTGTAGTAAACCTTGACATTGTATGTTGGGATCTACATAATTTCTAGACTAGTTAGCTTGCTTGATATTTCTTTGTATCAATAAGAATTATTTTCACTTTTTTTCATTTACATAAGTCTGAGGAAATTTTATTGTTATTGAGAAATTGGCTGAAACAATATAAAATACAAATCTCAGTTGTAGAATTGGTTGCTTTTTGAGATTTGTTGATATGTCATTATCTGATGATCATTTCAACATTTGAGATTTATAAACGGAATTGTTACTGTTACTTTAAAATTCTTATTTTACACTCTAAACTTATTATATTTAGAAAAAAAAATACATTTGTTAGGATTAAAAAATGAGATTTTTAGAGTGTACAATAGCAGTTTCGTTTATAAAAAGCCTTATATATAGTCAATTTCCCGAGATTAATGATCTCTTATTAATTCATTGTTTTATTGTTTTTTAGTTTGTTGAACAATTCTTCTCAGCTGAAGGACTACTTGCAATCAGTGTATGCTCAAGCAGCTCAATACGATAGTCCACCAAGTTATCCAGTTACTGTTGTCTGTGGAGGAATTGATGGAGCTTCTTCTGGAAATGATACTCTAAGCAAAATATTTGCAGGCCTTGTTGCATACAGAGGAAACAGGTCGTGCTATGTTAATCAACCCAGAAACCTATCTGAAACAGATATAGGGTGGCGATGGCAGGTAATTAGTTACATTAATTTTTAGTTATCTTGTCACCATCTCATAATTGATTAATTATGACAAACTTAAAAAGTAATACCAATGCTTGCATGCATTACAAGACCAATTTTATAGCTTCAATTTTTTGTTCGATTTTGCATTTATTTTACAATTTACTATTAGTAGGGGGAGGGGGAGAGTCAGAGACTACTACAATAATTTATGGGATGGAAGAGTTTCGAACTTGATATGTATAGGCAGAAACCCAACATCCTATATACTAGGGTATTAGTATTAAGGATAAACATTTAACCATCGACTAGATTTTCTTTAATTAAGGTGGAGAGCATTTGAATCTAAAACCTCTTGGAAGGATCTTTTTAGCATTGCGAAGTCTAATACCACTACAGTACTAAGTTTCAAAAATAGTTTCGTACATTGACCTTTGACTTAATTAAGTTTATGATTCTTTTTAAAATTAAAATAAAAAGTCTCAAGTTCGAATATTCAAATTTAATTTAGGCGTAGACTTTGAATCCTTCATCCTCCCGTCACACATACCCTACTCCGCGCATGCGCAACACATGTACATGTTTTAATTTGGAGGATAATATTATCATAGGGAAAGAGTAGTCAAATATTTACGCTGATTTGTTCAAAAGAGTAGTCCACCACCACTTGATAAAAATCAGATGGCTTTCATGTGGTCACATGCATTGACATGCGCGCATGCTAGCTAGGTTGCTTACCAAATCATTTGCCAAGGTTGAGTAATCATCATTCAAGGGGTTGACTTGATGAAAGACAAATTCATGTGGATCATACTGCCTTTTCTTTTGTGTGTTGCATTTGCGTATCACATAATTCCAATTTTCATAAAGTCACTTTTATTTTTCATTAAGTCACATTTATGTTCACACCATGTATAACTAGTCTATCGTACTTCGAGTTTGTTTGTGATTGCATCTGTAAGAACATGTAGATATTTATATTAGAAATTCATGTGCATTTTAGAAAACACTTGAAAGTGCTTCTTGAAAAAACAAACACTTAATAAAACGGGAAGGAACCGGACCGGATCTGTTTGTAAATAAAACGGGATGGGGTGGGGCAGGTTTTGGGTTTTTAAAATGGGATCCGGACCTAACCCGACCCTTTTGAAACGGGCCGGTCCTACGGGTCCCCATAGGTCCAAGTGTGGGTGCCTCAGCTTCCTAGCAAGTCCATGTCTCCTCCATCCTCAGGTGCCTCCTCGAGTCCTTCATCCGCTTCACTGTCACGATAAACCCGAACTTCATCACCGCCTTGTATGTACTTCCCATTGTGGATCCATACATATAAAATCATGGCACCCTTTATCCGAAATCAACAAAATCAATCACTTTCTATCTAGTTCCTTTTCAAAATCATCGAAAGGGATCTGAGTTTGTACCCATTGCAAGATCCCTACACAGATAACAACATGCAAGAGACATTGTCCTTCAATTTTTCCTTACTCTAAACATTAGAAACAAAATCGAAGAAGGATGAGACTAAAGTCTAAACTCCACAACAAATTCAGAAAAAAAGAAAAAGAAAAAAAACCCCATCTCATATTTCCCACAATACAGTACCTACATATTAATGAAAACCCAGATTGGCTAGATGCCCAATCTTGCAGAAAATTAAGATATGAGAGGAGACATTGGAAGACTAAGAACAGAGAGCATGGTGGTCGACTTCGACTCGCATGGCACTGACGATGGTGGTGTTTGACCATCTCGAGGTGCTGATGATGGGGGTCTTCGTTGAGGAGGAGAATCGAGAGATAGGTGGTGCGACGGTAGTGGCGGTTCTGAGTTTGATGTCATTGAGGTTGAGGAGGAGAAGATGAGTGACAGAGAGTCTATGGGTGGGAGGAGACGAGAAAGAGTCTGAGTTACAGACTGGGGGATGGGATCTTCGATGATGGACTAAGTAACGGGCTAGTCCGGGGGCCCGTTCTTCTCAATATTTGGACTCAGGCCCGAACCTTAATTGCCATTGCCCCGCCCCACCTCGCCCCGTTTACTCTCCAAACAATTGAAACCGCCCCGCACCCGTCCCGAACTTAGATTACCCGCTCCGACTCGCAGTTCCACTACCCGTTTGCCCACCCCTACTTAGAAGTGTTTCCCGAAAAAGAGCTAGAAAGTGTTTCTTTACCTATGATAATATAATCCAATATAAAGAACTTGATAATTTTACAATAAGTAGAAATTCAATAAATCATGGAAGAAATGTATGTGCCGTACTATGTTATGCATAGGAAAGATCGGGGATGTCCAGTTTCCTCCTAAAATTATTCAAGAAAACTTGATTAAATGGTTGAATACAAATAACTTAATTATTGTTATTCTAATATTGTCATACATATGCTGTAGAATCCCATTCATACACTGACTGTGTCTTTCTTGTTTAGTGTTTACTTAGTACTTGAGCCAAATATTTATATAATTGAAAGTTGTTAACAACCCAATGCAGAGAAAGAAAGAGAAATTGACTGCAAATTAAGACCTGGTTTGGTACTGAGGTGATTCTGAAAAAAGCTGCTATCAAAAAAAGCTGGGAGCTGTTTTTGTGTTTGGTAAATACTCAGCTTCAACTTTTTTTCACAGTTTTGGATGAAAAAAAGCCAAAAACAAGAAGTTGCAAAACCTAGCTTTGAAAAACCAGCTTTTTTTCACATCTGTTTTACATAAAAGTTTACCAAACACTCTAATACTACTTTTTTTTTTTCAAAAGCACTTTTACAAAAAAGTTTACCAAACACTCTGCTGCTTTATTTCACAGCTGCTTATTCTCACAGCACAGCAGAAGCAGCTTTTTTCAAAGCACAGCAATACCAAACCAGAATCTGATTTTATAGCTAGTGACGGAAAAGAAATAAGACGACCGCATATATATATTAAAAAAATTAAATTTTGCATAAATGAATATGGATTCTCAGAGGGCAAAGCTAATGTTAATAACGATCTTAATATTCCTGAGAACTTAGATTCAAATTAGGTAGATAACGTGTCAATATCAAGTTACTACGATGAGCCTATTGTGTAGCTTTTGATCCAAATTCCCTACAATTATAGTGTAAATACGTTGTTGTATTAAAAAAAAACCATCATAATACAAACATCAATGTCAAAACCAATATCAATACCTATGTCAATGCCAATATCAACAATTATTAATATATCTTTTAGTGGGAAAGTTTACTCTCTCGCACACAGACAGATGGGTTTATAGGGCTACAAAAATTGGACAATAAAATGGGGCCTTCTAGCTTTAAGGTTCTAGATGTGACTCATGACTTTCTGCATTGTACTTAGACGTGTAGTGACTTGGTGATACCCATAAGCATCAGCAACGACACCATGTTTCAACCTGACCTGTTCGATCTGGAAGCCTACATCAAATCCTGCAAGGCAAAGTATGGAGTCTCTCCTCGACCACGTTGGGTCACTACGTACTTCGGAGGCCATGTAAGTGTCCTCTTTATAATTATATTTATATTCAACATTTTAACATCAGTATTTTTTTCATATATTTTAATTCACTTTAATATGTTGCTGCTGATGCTAACAAAAATTATACCAAACACAGGATATAAAACTAGCTCTCCAGAGGTTTGCTAGTAACATCATTTTCTCCAATGGGCTAAGAGACCCATACAGTAGTGGCGGGTAAGCATGAAAATTACTATATAAACACAAATAAATTAAAGGAATATTGCTTTGACAAACCAACATTCATGCATGATGTACCTGGCAAAGTTAACCGTTGTTTTTAACTCTCATTACACAGGGTGTTGGAGGACATATCACGCACTGTTGTTGCCGTCCAGGCAAAGAATGGTACATGTCAAATTCAATATTTTCAGAAGGGTCAAACCAAAAACCAAAAACCAAAAACAAAATGTTATATTTTGGGGTCTTTTGAAAACTTTTTCGGTAACTAATTTCAGTTTTTAACTTTCAGGAGAATAAAAAGTGATTTCAAATTCAATCCTTTTTTTTTTTTTTGTGTATTTAAAAACAAAAACTACAAGATTGGTTTCCAGTTTTCATCTTGTTTCTAAAAACTGAAAAATGTTTTTGTCAGTATTCATGGTCAAATAAAACTTAAAAACTGAAATAGTCATCAAATAGACTGTTCACATGTATTACATTTGAAAAAAAAAATTGATAGGGCAATAATCCCACCTAAATATAATTCATTCAGCTTAAAATATTACAAGAAACGGAAATACCAAAAGGATAGAGACATACGGAAATTGTTTAAATTAATGTACAAAATTAAAATTTATTTTACAGGATCTCATTGCTTGGACATACTTCGTGCAAACCACACTACCGATCCAGGCTGGTTGGTGGAGCAGCGAAAAACTGAAGTGCATATCATCAAAGGATGGTTGGCCGAGTACTATGCTGACCTTCAGGCATTCAAATAATGAAAATTACCCCTTCAAACAATAAGACCACGGAAAACAAATTGATTAGGGCAAATCCCAGCTACAACTTTCTGTGAGTCCTGCAGGGAAAAATCCATTAATTGCCAAAGACAAGGGCCACCCATTGATTATTAGTTGCATGTAATATTTGAACCTATGTTTTCTTCTCCTTTGGATGTATCCCATATTCGTTAGAATTTGAAAAGGGCAACCATAGGGGTATTTACAAACTTTATAGCTACTATCAAACGTAATCCCTAATTTTTCGTTATTGTTTACACCATTAAAATATTGGACTTGCATCAATGGCATCCCCACTAGAACTTCAATGGCACAGATTACCTTGTCACAGTAGCATCCCACGTCAATAATACAAGAATATGTGTTATTTCTTGTCCATGTGTTTTTGTATTATTAACATGAAACGCTACTGTGATAGTGTATTTGTGCTATATAAGTTGTCCTCCACTCCATATTCCTTTGTATTAGAGTTCTTGCCATTGCAGCTGAATTGGCTTGGATTAGGCAGCTCTTTTGATCTCCATGTGCCTTTATATATAAATTCCTTCAATTAATGCTTTATTGTGATAGTATTTATGCCATTGCATTATCTTCTTATTCAGCATTCCATTAAAGAGTGAAACACATTGAGATATATTACCACTTTGTCAGAAAAAGGGTTACAAGAGGGGATTTGAATGTGCAACATGTATCTTTTGCTGAACAATCTGTAGACATACCGGCAAAGGATCTTTCTGCACCGCTGTTTCATCAACGTTGTGCCAATCTTATGCTTGGCTCGTCCAAGCATGAGATTGAAGGGGATGTAAAGATATCAACCATTGTAACATTGCCAAGTTTCACAGATTGAAGAAGGAAGGCGTTAGAAGTCTGTTTAGGTTGTTAAGTTAGCTATTTTCTGTTCGAGTAGTCAGCTCAGTTTCTTCGTGAGTAAAAAATGACAAGTCTCTAAATACTGTAAACTTGATCATTTGAGACTTAATGAAAGCAAGAAAGCATTTCTCTCTCCCTCCCTCTCTCTCTCTCTCTCTCTCTCTCTCTCTCTCTCTCTCTCTCTCTCAAAAATTCTCTCCGTGTTCTCTCTACTTTCTCTCTGTATCCTCCTTCCATTTTAAGGGGCAGTTGTAAACTTGCAGTTGAGTGATCTGTGTACAATGTTCATTTGGACTTTATTATGAAATCTCCAATTGACCAAAAAAAAAAACAAAAAAAGTAAAACCATTGCCGAAGAAAACACTGAAATTGAAGGAGAATGTTGGATTAAAATTTAGAAAGTGAAAATAAACCCATTGAACACATTTTGTAACTTTGAGTATGCATGGCTGGTTGTTGTTAATGAGACTAGAAAAGACCACCTATCGTGAGCATGCCAATATTCAGTTTATACGTTATGTATGTTTGTTGTGCATAGTACTTGACCTTTATATATTACACCATTTGAAACACACAACTGAAACTAAAGCCTGTTAATTTGCATTCTTCTACAAAACCTTTGTCATGAGCCCATTTCTATACACACTTCAATGCCTTTTACTGATCATTTCTCTATATGTCACCACCTCTTTTAATTCTTTTACACTGCTAAACATTCCAAGGCTGAGCTCCACCGCCAGCGGAGGCACATATTACACGGCCAAACTCAAGCTTTGTCTGATTTTGATGAAACTCATTTTCAAACATTTTATTACAACCAAACATTAGGGCTGGTTTGGTATTGTTGTGTTTTGAAAAAAAACTGATTCTGCTGTGCTGTGAGAATAAGCTCATTTTTGCTGCTTCACGTTTTCGGTTTTTTTTCATCCAAAACCGTGAAAATAAGCTGTTTTTAAATATTTACCAAATACATTTTAGAGCTCAGCTTTTTTTTATACTCACTTTTTATAAAACCACATCAATACCAAACCGGTACTTAATCATTTCAACTATATATAACTCTGAAAGCTATGCTACTTTTTAACAACGATATGTGATCAATTCCAAGCATTGGGGTGCACCAATATTTCCTTACCTCGGCGCAGAAGCATCATTAGAAATGCTCTACTTGCCATCGGCTTTCTCAGCGACAACGCCATTCGGTTCTCTCCAATTACACACCGAGGTATGCATGAAAAAGATATGGATCATGTTTGTACGCATACAAGTACTATTTTGAGACAACTATTTTTCTCATCATCCGCTTCGGTACTATGGGAAATCAATCCCATTTGGATCAAGGGAAGAAGCATTTAAAAATGCACGCGCTCTTGGTTACTTCACTTCTGCTCAAGCAATAGCAGATTATGGAGCGATTTTCACGCATCTAAAGCAGCAATTTCGTGCTGAAGATTCTGCGGTGATTGTTATCGGTGGATCGTACGGTGGAAATGAGTGGCTTCAGTCTCCAGATCCTTCCTCACAACTCACAATGTGTTTCGTTTTAATTTTACATGTCTGATTTTCCCATTTTCTATGTTAATTTGCATGCATGCAGTGCTTGCCTCGTAGTTTCGGCTAGAGTATCCCTATGTGGCCATTGGAGTTGTGGTCTCATCAGTTCCTCTGAAAGGTCTACTAAATTTTAATAAATATTTTCGAAAATCAAACTTGTGACTAACTAAAGCTGTAAAATTAACTAAATAAAAATAAAGTCACGAAAATTTGAGATACAAAAATTGAACAGCGAAATCGAGGATGGTGTTTCACAACAACTGTGGTGGTGGGAGTGGAGGATATGGTTGTAGTAAGGTGGCGGTGGCAATATGGTGCTAGAAGTAGTAATAATGATAGTTATTGCATTATGGTGGGTGGTGGAGTATATTATTAGAGAATTGAAAAAATTGATTGGGGAAGTGTTCTTGGCACTCCAAAAATCTCATTCTACACTCCTCACAAGTGTATTTTTCTTTCCAAATATAGAAAGTCTGGAGTATAGAATGAGATTTTTGGAGTGCCAATAATAATTTCCAATTGAAATCCATCAAAATCTTATGGGGAGAGGTCGGATACGCTATAACAAAAGACTCACTATAAAAGCAATCAAAGTCTTTCAAAGTTCTTCAATGTTCATGACTTTTGTAAAAATATCGATGTACTAAAAAAAAAAAAAATCCTTCAAAGTTCATGACTTTTTAAATTCTTTAAAATTAATGAAGTTTTGAATACACCTGAACTTTTGTAGACTCGCAAAAAGTCATAATTGAATACCAAAAGATTTTTATAGATATTTTAGATGTTGTAAATATCAATACATTGTGACTTTTATTAACACATTGAAAGTCTATATTGAATAGGCTTGGATTTGAGAGTGAAGCAAAGTCTATCAAACTCCACATACAATCCATCCCGCTAAGATTCTATGAAACTCCATTACACTCTATATGTTTACAATTTTTAAAACCTTTAAAATCTCAATTGAATACATCTCTCTAAATATTAAATTCCGAAAACGAAATAGTTTTTTAGGAAATACCCAGAAATATGACAGTTTCTTAATCTTGGGAGAGAAATAGGACATTTTGAATATGCACACACGATGCACAATAATTGGACATAAATAGGATTTTTCCTACACCCTAAAATGACCAAATTATCCTCTCTCATAAATAGGTTATCCAGAAATTACAGCTCTCATTTCTCATTTTGTAAAGAGAGAAACAAAGAGGAGAGAGAGAAAATCTCTCTCCCCCAACTCTAGTTCGAAGAACCCTAACCCACCCATCTTCTTCATCTAGGAGCTCTCTTTAACCCATCCATCTTTTTCATCCAAGCTATCTCTCTTTCTCTCTGTCCCCTCTCTCTACATTTCAAATATGTACAAGAGCTCTCTCTCTAACCCACTAATCTTCTTCGATTTTTACCTTTTCACTCGTAGGTTTTGTGAACTGGGTTTGCTTAATTTGGCTTTGTGATTGATAGATTTTTGGAGTTGAAGTGATTGGTTTGGTGTTTCTTGGAGGAGACCCAAATCCTTCATTTTTTATTTTTTTTTTTATCATTTTTTCTGATTTATATGTGGGTTTTCATTTTTTCTATCTTCTCCCTCCCTTTGCTCCCTCTCGATCCAAATTTACAAGCACTAAAATAGGGTTTGGCTTTTGCTGCAATTAAATGAAAAAAACGTATTAAAGGTCAGTTACCTTTTGGAGAATAGATAAATTTGAGGGAAAATAGAGAAATCAAAGTGGAAAGAAGGAAGAGAGAAGGATATGGACGAAATTGTTTTGCGTACTCGTTCTCTCTCTTCGTATTAAGCTAGCTCATACACAACATGTACACGACATGCACACATATCTAAGTTCAACCCGAAAACCCATAACTCACAGCCCTCTCTTCGAAATCAGAAAAAAAGACGCAATTTGATAAATGATCCTAAACTTTATATGAAGAATTGAAGATTCATTATTTTGAATTTGGTATCAACTTTGATTGGGTTCAAATATTTCAAGGATTTGAAAAACTTGTAGTTTGAATGGGCATGAAAGAACACAACTGAATCAAAGGAAATTGTTTCACGAACTCGTTCCCTTTTCTCGTATTTGCAGGGCCTGCCTTTGAATCAAAGGAAAAAGTAGTAAACTACATTAATGCGAAGAGTATCAAAGATGTAAATACACACCATCTACACATAATACACTATATGCACACCACATGCACATAATATGTATAGTACATGCACATGATATGCACAAAACGAGAGAAACTTTAATGGCAACATATTACTATAATGGGTACAATTAAAACATACTTGTTATGTATATAAGGTTAAAATATAGTTTGAAAAGTCTTGTTACGTATATTAACCACCACTTAACCGTGCACGGAAAACATGATACTCGTTGTCATTATTTCACGGACACGCATGACCCTTAACGTCCTCTAAGTTTTTTCTTAATTTTATTTTTCATCGAGGCCAACTAAGTTGTGGTCATACTCGCTAAATTCTAGGGCACAACATATGTGCATCATAACAAGTGAACATTCCCGCTTCTCATAGTAAGATGTAGTCATGCACACCACATGCACATTAGGAAAAATTTTCACAAATTTTTGCAATTGAACACTTGAACCATAAATTGTTCCATCCCAGTCTTGTAGCACGTCAAAACTTGAAATTTATTCCACAGCCCATACTGTGGAGCCAAAAATAATCAAGAAAAATATGGAGGCGACATATGGATTTTTGGGCAAAAAAGACAAGATTACCCTTGAGACACATCGGAAGTCCTACGCGCGAGCAGCAGACAATCATCACTCAATCTAGGTCAAAAGTGA